AAAGAAAAAAACCCACTTAATACCCTTGTTTCCACACCCATTTCAGTAAAAAACCACTCTGTATGGGTATGCACATAAGATGTGCCCATACCGACAATTTGACTTAAAATATTTTTCTGTTTCATCCACATGAAATAGTTTTGCAGAGCAAAATTATGTAATGTTTGGGTTCATGTTGCTATCAAGCAAAATATTGCTTGCTTTTAGATTGCAATGAACTATTATGTGTAGTGAATTGTTGTGTAGAAAAAGAAGACGATGTTCGATGCCAACAATGATGTAGAACTATTCTGTTTAGTGAATCTTGTAGATAAAGAAGACCACGACCGATACACAACAGTTCCACAATTACCAAATCATTTCATTCCACACAAAATAAGGTGGCAAATAAGCTCAAAAGAAAGTTCATCACTTTCATCAAAAATAAGTTCAAGTTGGGCCTCATTATAAAATGGATTCAAGTACAGAAAAACTCAGCAAAGGGAACATCATTTTCAATGGCATGCTAAAACATAACATTTTCAGCCAAGAAGAATTAACCTCAACCAAGTGGTCAATACCAATTGTTGCATCAACCAAGTGAAATATAATATCTGTTGTAAGAACAACAACCCAAACAAAAAAATATAGCAGTCATAAGCAAAAAATCGAATTCAACTAAAAAAGAAACAAAAGAAGGTGGACTACATAAATTTTTCTAAAGTCTTACTATTGTCTCTATAGAACAAAAACTATAGAAGTTTTAAATGATGCTCACAACCTTAAGTCGCGTTTTTTATGTAATAAAAGAGTTACTTAAGGACAAATAACAATTAAGTTTGGGGGATTTGATACAGCAAAAAATATTCAATTTTTCATATATATTTAAGGCTTATATTTGGTGATATTGCAATTTAAAGAAAGATATTTTCATGTTTTATTACAGGTTTTCATGTTTTATTACAGATTTTCATGTTTTATTACAGGTATACTAAGTCTAGGCATTTGGAGCTTAAAGGATGTAAAAAGTACAAAATTTGGCGTCAAAAGTGGCGTTTTCAAAAAATTAAACTGGTGCCTAAGCGCCAGAATCCAAAGAAGACGACGCCTACGTGCCAAAGACGTTTATTTTCACAAATGCATTGATTTTGGACGGATTTTGAAGAGATTCCTATAAAGACTCATGCCAAAGACGTTTATTTTCACAAATGCATTGAATTTGGACGGATTTTGAAGAGATTCCTATAAAGACTCTTAGGAAATTCATTCCCACATTATAAAAGAGTGCTTTTATGTTAGAATTGTGTGTGTGTTGTATGTCAGAGTGTGTAGGGCATGAGTAGCAAAGTGTAGGAGAGTGTGGCAAGTGTCTCTAAGAGTTGGAAGAGGAGAGGAAAAGTTAGAGATTTTTTCTTACTTACATTTCTAAGAGAGATTTGAGTGTTATTGTAAAGAGAGGAATGGATTTAAAGAAACTTCAATGGATTTACTTGGGAAGAAATCGAGTTATGTTGTTTTACTTTTCTTTCTTGTTTTGTAAACTTGTTCTTATATATAAAATCTATGTATCTTTCTCCTGAATTCTGAGTAGATTTCCTTTTTCTTCTCTCCCTACAAAGACAAATTGGTCATGTGAAGAATCAAGATTGTTGTGCAAAATTTTAATTTCATATTTGTGATGATTCGAACTTCGAATTTCATTTAATTTTTGATCTGACCAATTCAATTGTTAAAATTTGTTGTAAAACATACGATCCGAGAGGGTCATGCTTTCCACAATAAAGAAAGAATCACATTTGATTTCATGGATGAGAATGTAGTCTATAGGGTTGAGTGCAAATAAGTAGGGAAATATTCATTGATAAGCGTAAAATTGAAGGTTTTAGGGTGACAGACTAAAATCTTCAATTTGGCCCAAAAATTTGGAAACTAAAGCGAGATGATACTCCTCCGGCGAGGGAAATGTGGAAACTCTAGAGTGAGAGCCAGTATCTTCCTAGCCTAACCGCAGATTTAGGGACTAAACACTAGATTAACCAATATTTTTTATCGCTTGTAAAAATGATAAAGAATATATTTGCTCCTATTTGACACAATACATTTTTTTTCAATTTAATAATTCACTAACTATAATCTCGTTATAAGAGGAAGGCTGTTTTCTTAAATCTGAACTCTTTGTCACAAAACCTAGTTTAGTTTTTGTAAATTTAGCTTTGAAGTTTAGATATTTGTGTATCAAACTTAGTTTCTTTAGTTGCATTAAACAAATTTTGACCTGTTTTCTTACTTAAGTTTTCTATAGTTTAAATACTATGCTTTTGCGTGTTTTTCCTAACAATTTTTTATCTCCATGTGAAATCAATACTTAAGACTCCATTATAGCTCTTTATTATTTGAGCGATATATATACTTGCATTTGCAACCTAGTGACTATTTGAAACTGAAAGTACACCTTAATTCACTAGGAGTGACACCTTTAGATATTTTAAAGAAGAAAACTTGTTATACTAAAGTAAATTTTATTGTGATTAATTTGCATATTTTTTAGTGTAGCTACCTTGTGAGTTGTGGTATTGAAAAACATTTATAATTCATAAAAATATGCATCATAGAGTGGTCGCTCGGTCGTTCTTGCCAGTGACCCAATTCATAAGTGATTAAAGACATATGTCTCTTTCAACCAATTCACATTATCTAGAGTTATCCCTGACCGACCATTCCATACGATTATTTTAAAGGCCTTTGGAGAATACTTCAAAGTCATCAATCATAACGTAAAGTGAAAAAATTGAAGGATGAAAAGAAGCGAGGAGAAAAATAAATAATAAAAGCATAACATCATCAAACCCCTCACTCTTATACATAGGTAAATAAAAGAAGAGGGATCATCACACAGGTGTAAAAAGAGAATTCTACATTAATATGAAAAATGCGTCGAAAGAAGGATCATATCAACACAATAAACGAGACAAAAAAATATATTTAATTCAAAAAATAATCATTAAAGATTACATGAATAGCTTGAGAACTAGCCAGCGGAGAGATATTTTCAAGGGTTCATTCAACTGATATATACTCTAGTCGAAGGAGTCTTTTAAGCAAAATTTCTCACCCAAACTTAAATTGCTTTATACGATCTATCTTGACTTAGTGTGGATTATGAGGGATCTCCCTTGGATGTTCAACAGTTCCTAGTGACAAGTAGTAATCTCCTCCTTCGTTCTCTTCACTTTCTCCACACTAACAAGTAATGTGTATCTCCTTGTCTTGATGGATTATGGCCAACCAAGTGAAAAAATTCTCGATCTTGTCCAAACGATGTACCAACAATTTGGGAGACATCCAACATCCATTAGTTTCTTTCCAATGGGTTTCGAGAGGATTGACGAGGCAATCAATCACACCATCATTGCCCGAGAATCGACCACCCTCAACTGGTGCCTATGCAGCAGCTGCTGACACTGCGATCGAATTCTCATCCACATTTAAGAGAGAGTTATCATTTGAGTCTATTAGAGTCGGGTCAGTTGCACCAAGGGACAATGTAAAGGGAAGGCACTTCATAAGATATGCAAATCAAACAAATAAGACCAAGACTCCTCATATTGAGGAGTCAATCCAACTCAGACACTAATATCGATGCAGTGCCCTCACCATGTAATGGCAGAGCACTAGCAGTTTCTTGCACAACCCATTCAATCAATTTGTCTTGTGCTATAATAAAAGTTGAGGTGATGGATCAGATTGATAGCCAGGTCGGTCGCCTGAAAAATTCCTCTACTTAGTGACTAAGAACGAATCAGACGATCGTAGCTTGATCCATCAACGTAACATTTTTATTCTTTTTAACAATTCTTTTCACCTTCTGGGCGATACCGCTCATTCGGCCTCTTGAAGACAACACAAAATAGATCATTGTTGGGGTTATCCCCCAGGAGATTCAACACATTATCCATTATAATGGTCAGAAGCTGATAGATTTAAACGAGAAGGGCTGTAGAGGTAAAGAGTCTGTCACGCCTTATTTATAAAGGTAAAAATAAAGAAATAAACGGAATTCAATTATTAAATTTATTATTAATAATAAATGTGATATACTTTTTTCGTTAAATTTTCTAACTTTTATCATAATGTCACTTTCAAGAAGTAAAAGAAAAAGAGAATTAAATTATGTACATAAAAAATGTGTCAGTATTGATCTTGAGAAGGTCTATTGTTCAAGAAAAGAACAGTACAATGACGGAGAGTCTGCCAATAGAAGATCATGTGGCCCACTTGTTCGATCGAGTGAGGCTGCCCGAGCCAAAAGCCAGAAAGGCCCTAGCCGATCAAACTGTGAGAGAGTCTAAAGACGATCAGAGGATACAATAACAGCTATTCAGACAAAATGAGGTAAAAGGACATCCAAGTCGATTATCATAGGAGTGTTAATCCTAGAAAGATTTGAATCTTTAGCATCTTGAACCACCCAGAAACATCCTTCATCAGGGTTTAAGGATTGACTACCAAACCATAGCAACTGACCCACTCATACCGATCAAATTCAGCTAACCGAGCTAATCTCATCTTATTGAGGGGATCTCAGTCGACCTAATTGACTCTGTTGATCCAAATTCAATTAAGCTTAGTTGGCAGACCAAAAGAGCAGCCAAACGATCAGCTCATACAAATAAAATACCAAGAATATTGTCTACATACCCTTTTTAAAACACAAGCAAGAATATAACATCATCATATTGTATCATTTCTTGTATAAATAAAAAGATCATTTTATGAATAATATATTATTAATATGACTTTTTTACTGTTCACACGCCTCTTATATCTCTTCTTATTTTCTTAGTCCTTAGGTGTAGTTCACGGACAAATCTAAATTCAACATATTTAAATGAACTTCCTCAAAATAAAAAATGATCTAAATTTTGAATATAATAGGTATGCCGGACTGCCTTCAATGTTCAAATCCCACTCGTAACGGCTAGTGATTCCCTCTCGCCTTTTCCCATATACTTACTCTCTCATCTCACATCCGCACAAATTAATCAACCTTTGTTATCTTCGCAAAAAACGTAAATTCGCCAATAAATTCCAATTGCATTCGAAACAAGAGCAAAAGCGGCAACTTTTTCGCGTCCTTTCACTTCGAAGACTTCGCCAGTATTGGATTGATTCGTCTTCTCTCCCCACTCGATCGTAGATCTCTCAGTTTCCTTTTATTTTCATCATTCTTTCTTCAGTTACTTGGCATTTCTCATTTTTTCAACGTTTACTAAAACTTCAGAAGGATTTTGTATCTCATTCTTCTGGTTAATTTTGTGTTCTTGTTTTGTCTCCGGAAGATTGACACCTAATCAATCACTGGGCTAGTGTTCAAGAAACTAAAAAACTCTCTTTGTTTATTGGGTTCGTGGTTTAGATCATCGCAGGCAGATTCCGAATTCACCATATGTTTGCCTACCCTTCTCCCAGTACTTTTGTAATGGATAATTCTCAGAGGAAAGGAGCATTTGTAACAATTTCACCATCGCTGACTCCTCGATCCAACCATAGGTCTAGCAAAGGATCGAATGATAGCAGCAGTAATTCTAACAGCAAGCATGACGAAGACAAGGGGGTCAACATTCAAGTCATCGTCCGATGCCGGTAAGGACTTCAAATCCCCAAAAACGTCATCTTTTTCATGAAATTTAGTATTTTGAACTGTTTTAGACCTTTGAGTGAGGATGAGATGAGATTCAATACGCCGGTGGTGGTATCCTGCAACGAGCAGCGGAGAGAAGTTTCTGCTGTTCAGAACATAGCCAACAAGCAGATTGATAAGACCTTTACCTTTGACAAGGTTAGATATCCAGTGCTCAAGTTTTTTAAGAAAAAAATTAATTTTTTTCCAGTGATGTAAACTTTTAGTTTAATCTTATAGGTCTTTGGTCCATCATCCCTGCAAAATGATTTGTTTGAGCAAGCAGTCTCCCCTATTGTGAGAGAAGTTCTTGAGGGTTATAACTGTACGATATTTGCATACGGTCAGACTGGTACTGGAAAAACTTACACTATGGAAGGAGGAGCAGTCAACGCAAAGGTTAAATTTACCTTTATGCTTGTATTAGTTATTTTTCATTATAATTAATAACTGTATGATGTTTTTTTAATAACAATATATATAAAGAATGGAGAATTTCCAAATGATGCTGGTATCATCCCGAGGTCTGTTCGACAAATCTTTGATAAGCTTGAGGCTCAGAATGCAGAATACAGTATGAAAGTTACATTTCTTGAGCTGTATAATGAGGAAATCACAGATCTTTTGGCTCCCGAAGAGCTCAGGCTGTTAGAGGACAAGTCCAAGAAACCAATTGCTCTAATGGAAGATGGAAAGAAAGGAGTTTTAGTGAGGGGCCTGGAAGAGGAGATAGTTACAACTGCTGGTGAAATCTATAGAATACTAGAAAAAGGTTCTTCAAAGAGGCGTACTGCAGAAACATTGCTCAACAAGCAAAGTAGCCGGTCACATTCAATTTTTTCAATAACAATTCATATGACTCCAGAGGGTGAGGAGATGATCAAATGTGGGAAACTTAATCTTGTTGATCTAGCAGGTTCTGAAAACATTTTGAGGTCTGGTGCTAGAGATGTGAGTAATTCATCAGCTATTTTAACTGAGAAAAGCACAGTTCTAACAGAATTATTTGCTAATTTCACTGGTTATGGATTCCATATTGCAGAATAGAGCAAGGGAAGCTGGGGAAATTAACAAAAGCTTGCTTACACTTGGTCGGGTTATTAATGCTCTTGTTGACCACTCAGGCCATGTTCCGTATAGGTTATTATACCTTCTTTTCTTAACTTCATGTTTTTTAGAGTTTGTTATGTTATGTGCTCAAAATTTTTTTTTCTTCAGAGATAGCAAATTAACAAGGCTTCTGAGAGATTCGTTGGGAGGAAAAACAAAGACTTGCATTGTTGCTACTATATCGCCTTCCATTCATTGCTTGGAAGAAACATTGAATACTTTGGATTATGCACATCGTGCCAAAAACATAAAGAACAAGCCAGAGGTAGATTTAAAGTTAATTCCATAGATTTAATATGATTTAGTGCTTATAATTTCCTTTTTTTAATCCAGGTCAATCAAAAGATGATGAAATCTACACTTATCAAGGATTTGTACTCTGAGATTGACCGCCTTAAACAAGGTTTCTCCCCTCAACCCCCCATTTCTCATTAAACTTTACTGCAAAAATTCAATGATTTTAAATTTTTTAGGAGAGTTATGAATATTTGAAAAAGAGCAAAATCTGTACTTTTATGTAACATTACCATATACAATACAGGAACTGCTTCTCATTTTTTGTTTGTAATGGTTGCAAACTGGATGGGCTTGTTTATTTTATATTATAATTTTACAGAATTATATGCTGCAAGAGAAAAAAATGGCATATACATTCCAAAAGACTGCTTCATGCAAGATGAAGCTTTAAAAAAGGTTAATTCTGTTGTCTGAATAACTTTTGATGATTTGGTATTGCATTTATATAATTTAAATGAGGTATGATTATTACTGCTAAGATGGATGATGAATTTTTCTGCATTGCAGTCAATGTCAGAGAAATTGGAATGTTTGAAAGCAGAACTGGAATTAAAAGATAAGGTATCAATTCAGTAATTTTAAATTTCTAGCCGTTAATCATTTCTAAATTTTGAGTCAAAGGACTTGGTTGAAAACAGGAATTCGCTGGGCTACAAGATATTTGCAAATCTCAAAAGTTACAGCATGCAGATCTCAGTGATATGCTGGAAAAAACGCAGGCATGGAACAAGTCTTCCAAGTTCATAATTTTTGTGGACATTAACTCAAAATTGCAAAAAGACTAACCCTTTTATGGTTTTTTTTTCTAAATTTATTTTTATGTAGAGACAACTAAATGAAAAGGAACACTCCTTCGCTGATCTAGAGCAACGCTATAAACAAGCAAATCTAGCTATTAAAGAAAAAGATTATCTCATTTCTAAAATTTTAAAGTCTGGTAGGCAAATATATCTTTGGAGTACCTTAAAAAGTAGTTGTATGAATTTTGGCACAATATTGATATTGAAATGTATGGCATGAACCTTCTCTCGTTTCTCAGAAAAGGTGCTTCTTGAAAATGCTCTTGAGCTTCGATCTGAACTTGATAGTGCAGTAACAGATATTTCTGGACTGTTTTCTAGAATCGGTTGGTGGTATTTCTCATTAAGTTTGTTTGTAAAAATATAAGTAGTAGTAAGGTCCTGTTTTCTTCTTCTCTGACATGCTCATATCCGTGGATTGATCTTCAGAAAGGAAAAACAAGATTGAAGATGGAAACAAAATTATGCTGCAAAGATTTATTTCCCATCTGAATGAGCAGCTGGGTCTTTTGCACAGCACTGTCTCTTCATCTTTGACACAACAAGGGAACTTTCTCAAACAAGTGGAAGAGGAAGTGCGGTCATTTATTTCTGCTAAGACTAAGGTTTGTTAAACAGATGATGCCCAATGAGTTTGCTCTGCTTTCATGAATTTGCAAATTTTATGTACAATTTCTTTTCTAATATAACTATTTAGACCACAAAAGAACTCCATGAGTGGCTAGAAAGATTGAAAGATGTGTATAATAATGGTATAAGAAGCATGGATGGAGTTGTAGGTGAACTTAAGGAAAAATCAGAGTCAACCTTTGGAAAACTCAACTCGCAAATATCAATGCATTATTCTGGGCTGGAAGATGTAAGTAATCCTATATATTTTCATAGGCTTTTGTCAAAAATTGGTTCTGACTTCCCTCTCCACATGACAGTGTCTCAAAAATATATCCCAAGAGGGAAATCAGTTGCTTAATGAGCTTAAAAGTGGCATATCTATGATGGAATACAAATTAGTCTCTTTCACAATGCAGCAACATGAGGTCGGTCGGTAGCCATTGCTGATAACTACCATTTTTCTCTTCCTTCTGGTTTGTAACTTTCTTTAGAGTTCTTATCAATAGGGTCATCTGAGAACTGTGGAAGCTACCAGATCTATCTCTAAGTCAATTGCTAGTTTCTTCAATGATTTAGAAGTTCATGCAGCTAAAGTTAGCAAGATTGTGAAGGAATCAGGAAATATTCGAAGCATACAATTGTATGAGCTTGAAAAGAAATTTGAGGTGGATCCCTTCGGTTTTCTCTTACATAACAGAAGATAATATGTGTTGCTGACATTTTGTTAAATTTTATATCATGCCCGCAGGAATGTGCAGCTAATGAGGAAAAGCAATTTCTCATGAAGATTGAAGAAATGATAGCAAGTTCAAATGCAAGAAAGAAAAAACTGGTAATCGAGCTCCTATTTACATGATTACATCAATTGGAAAGATAAATTGGCTTGATTTTTTTTCAGACCTATCGTCGTGAAGTTGGCAAACTTGTTATTTCTCCATATATGTTTGAATAGAACCTCATAATGCAGCAGTTACTATCCATTAAACACAAACAACTTTAAATACCATAACACGAAATCAATATTAATAACTTAATAACAGGTGATATCCAAAAAACACTCAACTGAATGACCACAAATGTCATTTTTTCCATCAAAACAAACATTACTATTGGTATAAACTCCAAAAAATTATGCCTATTATAATGACATTTTTCAAAATCTTAACGTGTGATGATGCAAATTATCTAAGATGACATGCTATTTTGGGTTTAAATTATATATATATATATATATATATATATATATCTATGTGTGTGTATGTTTACATGTAATTTAATAACTAGATTTAATTGCATAACTATTTGTATTTAGAATCTTAATTCATGTAGGATCCCTACTCAAGGCTAATTGAGTCGTTGAATTACTAAAAGTTCTGTTTTGACTGTCTTGACTTAAATGGTCATTATTGATTTTTATATATATAAGAGCTAATATGTGATGAATCAACTTATCCAGAATAATAGATATAGTAATAATGATAACATTTGAATAGAGCATTAATAAAATCATAATTAATTCAAGAGAATGATGAAGCAAACAAAGTCCGACTAAAGTGTGTAAAGCCAGACTTTCAAATAAACATGCCATCACAAACAACATTTAGTAGGAACTTGTAAAGTGTGTAAAGCCAGACTCATTACTTAGGTTTTTCAGCTCAGTGTTGTGCTAAAGTTGTACGTTGCTCTTTGGCTCTCGCTCTCTCTCTCTCACTCACACACACAAGAAATTGCATGATATTTTCAGACAAATTAATAAATATTTGATACAAACTTAGAATGTGCTCACTAATCTATACAAAATAGTGTTTGGAAAATAAGTCACATTCTACTCAATATGTGAAGCCATTAATAGTGAACTCGTACTTCATAACAATTACTTGAAATTTTTTTTTATTCCAGCTGATCATTATTACAAAAGTCGACAGTGATCATATCAATATCATCTAAGTTATTATATTAGTCTTATACCATTTATTTATGATTATTTATTGAAGATTCCCAGATTCAAGTTTGATTGTTGTTGTTATTTAGGATGGCATTTGTATTTTAATAAATCCTTTTTCATAACTTACTTTTAAGTTTTCTTCCATTCACCATTTTTCATTGTGAAGCATATACCATGTTAATTATTGTCAGCTTATTTAATAGAGTATCTTCGACCACCTATTATGTTTGTCCATGCCTTATTATTTTAATGTGTTATTTATGTAGTTTTTCAATAAAACTATACTTCACTTCTTCCTCAGTTTTCCATAAGCTTATCCTATAATATCTTTCATAGCCCTCAAAATGGTTATTTCCTTCCTATAATAAATCCATGTCGTATTGCTACTCAAACAACATTTTTATAGAATAGTTTTGTAGTCTTTATATGGCATTCTCTTTTTGCTTCGTAATTGTTGTGCACTTCATCAATGACAAAATTCTTTTTAATAATAGATCTAAAGTTTTTTATTTATCACACTTCAGTATCATGTACTCAATATTTAATTCTACTAAAATTTAGCACCTAAACGTTCCTAGAGAAAGATAAATAATAAAAACATCGATAATGCATTTGCGGGCTAGTAGGTTGCATCTATGGAAAATAATTAAGACCAATTTATTTGGTATGATAGATCCAAAATTTTTAACCTTTCACAATTCAGTATCATGTTCTCGATGTTTAATTCTACTAATTTTAAGCACATAACTATATAGAAATTCTCAATTGTTCTTTTAGAACTGTTTGCAATCCAGTTTTATGTTGGTCTTAATTATTTGCCATAAATGCAAACAACTAGTTGGCCACAAATGCATTATCGATGTTTTTATTATTTATCCTTTGCCTTGAATTTTTACTCTTTGTAAGGCACAAATTATTATTAAGCAATATGTTTTGGCATGTAGAATGTTGAAAGTACTGAATTTATAACTTACAATTTTTTTTGATTGATTACTCATATAGGTTCAAGAAGCAATTTTTGCTATCCAATCGATGGATGTTGAAAGAACTAGTGCCTTACAGACACAAGTTTCTTCAACACAAGATTTTACTCACCACATGAAGGAACAGTGGACCATCTATATGGAAGAAACCGAAAAAAAATATCGTGCAGATACGAGCACAGCCGAGACGGAAAAAATTACCATAGAAGAAGTCCTCCAGAATTGGTTGGTGTGATTTCACCATAATTCCTTAAGAATTATATAACCACTTGGCTAAATTCTAAAATTTTGCTTGAAAATGCAGCAAATCAATAGCAATGTCAGGTTTGCAGCAGTGGGAGGTTGCACACAGTTCTTTGCTAACTATTGGACAGAACAATAAATCATCAATGGAATTCCTCCTCAAGTATTCCATCTTGACACACATCCGAGAAAAAATGTGTTCGAAAAAAATTCACTTTTATTATTATTATTATTATCAAGCTTCTAAATTTTTGCAGGAGTGGAATAGAAGCAAATGATGTGATACACTCTGAATCGTCTGCTTCCATGACTGCTGCTCTAGAAAATCTTGATATTGAATGCAAGGGTTTTCAATCATCTATTGATGGTAAGTTCCTTTATTCTTGAATTGTAGCTTTCAATGATAGGTTGGTTATTATTAACATGCTCTACATGTAGGTTCATTGAAGCTTGACCATAAAACAAGTGAAAGCATTGATTCCTTAATTGTTCCATGTTTGGCGGAGTTGAGAGAACTACAAATTGGTCATCATGACAGAACGATGAAGATCACAGAAAATGTAGAGAGTTGTTTGGAGAAAGACTACATGGTAAATATTTTGGGGTAGCCTAATCAAACTTTTGTCTTTTACTTTGCTATTGAAGGATTTGTTTCTCACTATTTTTGTTTTCTTTTGAAAATCAGGTGGACAAAGAACCTTATTTGACACCAAAAAGAGCAATTAATGTGCCGAGTTTGGCATGTATCGAGGAGTTAAGAACTCCGGGTTTTGAAGAGTTGTTGAAGGCCATTGGTGTAGAGGGAAAACAATGTTTGGGAACCCATGAAACTCCGGTGCCAGCCCTTCAAGATTGTAGAGCTCCTCTGACCATAAAAAATTGATGGAAGAGAATTTGAAGTCCTTGGTATTTTTTAAATTGGAAAATATAACAATGTACAACTTTTGCTTAGAAGCTTGAGAGACTATATGATGTATGTCAAACAAGCTATCATTATGCATCCATGGTATTAAAGATGGATTGATGATGATGGTATGGAGTTTGAAATGAAATTTTATCCAATATTGCTATATTTTGCGAGTATAAAAAATTAGCCAAATTATTCTATATTGTGCTATTTAAAGAGACACAAATCGGCAAACATGTACAATATAATGATTACTTTCACTCTTCATATGTAGATATGAGAATGATTATTTTCTCTTAGGGGCAGGCCCTACTTCGAGATTGGTAGAGCTCCTCTGACCATACAAAATTGATGGCAGATAATTTGAACTCTTTGTTTTATTTTTTTTAATTGGAAAAATATAAATCTAAGACTTATGATCAGAAGTTTGAGAGGCTATATGATATATGTTGATGTATAGCTTTTAAAAAGCTTGTGCTATTTAAAGAGGTTATATGATATATGAGAAGTTCTCTTAAACACTATAGTTGCATTAAATAAAAATATTTTTTTGTTTGTCGCTTAATAGGGGTATTGATGATAAAAAAAAAAAAAATGTTCGAGCGACGTTTGAGCCTATTAGGCCATATGCCAAACTTTATCGTTTTCCTAATTTTAATGCCATCCTCTCCAAAATTTCTTTTATTATCAATTTTTTTTTATTTCTTTTATTTTTAATTGAAGTCATCACCATATACAGAAGTTTAAAAGGTAAATAAATAACCTAAGGCTTTTTTTTTGTCAATTTTATTCTTTGCTTTTGTTTTTGAAAACCAAATTGATTAATGTAATATAAACATGTTTTTATTTTAAATTTTAGAAACAAATTACCTTTTTTAAAAAGGCACAAAAAAATCTAAAAGATATTTTGAGTGTCTTTAAAAACAGTTAACACAATCAATTTTGATTTAATTCAAATTAAAAATGTAAAATAGAAATAAAAGTGTTGCATGACTGAAAATTCACAACGATAAAGTTAATATTTTGGCATCTTAGTGTTATGCAAAGATCCATCACAAATGTAGTTAAGAAGGGAAAACACTAAGATTTTATATGTGAAAAAAAATCCTTGAAGAGAATAAATTATATGGTCTAACTCAATTAAAGTAATCCACTATGTGATTATAAGTCAAGGATACACCCTTCTCTCTTGTTAAGGAGAACGCGTTTACAATCTTACGCTAAAAATTATGCTTATTTTTAAACAACACAAATAAAATACAAGTGATAGATACAACATATGTATTTTGACTATAATAATTGAAAACAGTGGTTGTCAGTTGCCAGCAGTCGGCAAAAACAGGAGGTGGGGATTGGTAGCGATCGACGGTGGTTGATGGGCAGTGGCCGATGGTGGCCAATGAACGATGGTCGACGTTGGACAACTGTCAATGGTCGATCGGTAGTGGCCAACGGATGGTGACCGACGCGAGGTGGTTAGTGGTTGCGAAGGCTGATGGTTACTCACTGGTTCTTCTCTCCCCAACAGACTCTGAAATCAACTTCTTCTCTTCATCCCTCTGAAGTGAAGAGAGGGGGTCTATTTATAGTCCTTCGGGAGAGACATTTTGGTCTTTTGATGCATAACTTTCTTAACCACTTAATCAGAAAATCACTATTGATTTCCTTGATCATAGATGATTCTTTAATGATTTGAGCACCTAAATGACCCAAAAAATTAGCAATCTTAGGCTCATTGGATTCTTCTCGTCTAGATATTCAATTTGACTATAAATATGTCAAATTTGAAAGTTTATTTGACCATTCAATTGGACATGGATTGAACCAAATTTGGTATCATTAGAGTTGTCTTTTTGAGATGGTCATTTTGAATCTAAGTTTGCCAAAATCGAGGCCCATATGCTTTTACATTTGCATTTAAAAAATCATTTATAAAACTGTACAACAAGATTTGTGCTTGATAAAGATGTTTTGATGACCCAACATAAGAAAAAAAACCAGTTCCCAAATGGTGCTTATTTTAGATCAATTTTATCTTTTTGTTATTTTTGTATTTTTAAATCATATTTATTTACTATAATTTTTTAGTATTTTATTTTTTTATTTCTAAGAAAATAACATAAATTTGAAAGCACTGAAAGTAATTTTAGTTTTTATACATAAAAAATATGTTAGCATTGATCTTAGGTCAAGAAGGGAAGAGTACGGCGAAGACACTTGTCCAATCAAGGAAGCCATACAAGCAATCATGCCAAAACCGACCAGACAAATAGGTAAAATCATGATAAATAAGTAAAAATAATTTTTAGATTTTACACTTGTGGAAGGTTTTTGTTGATGTTGTATAGGTTACAGGTGATGAATATGAGCATTTTGGGATGGGAAAAACTAAGAAAAAAGTGACCACAAGCGGAATGACCACGTTTGAAAGAGGCACGGCCACACCACCATATCCTCACTAGCGACGTGACCACATAATAAATGGGTGTGACCATGCCAACATTTTAGAGGGTCGGCGAGACCACGTCAGGATCAGGCATGACCACGCCGATTGTTCCAGAAGTCTGGCATGACTGCGCTGCAATTCAACATTACCACAACAATGGAGCAGGAATCTAGTTTAGAAATAGTTTTTCTTGCCAAATTCATAGATTTGGCTATAAAAATGCACTTTTAGGGAATCTAAAGGATGATGAGAGATGTCAAGACTACTGGAGAGCAAAAGTGAGGGTTTTGGAGAACTTCTTCCTTAAGTTTTCTCTTCCTCTCCTGAGATTGAGTTCCAAAGGATTTTCCTTACCTTTTTTTTTTGTATTTTCTTACATGTTTTGAGAGGTTATTTTATAAGAAAGGGATTTGCTCCCGTAGAAGTGGAAACAAATTGTTTTGTAATTTTTTCTCTTTCAGTTTTACGTGCAACAATAATTTTGATGGAATGTTTTTTCTGTGTTTTTTTCTATTTTGCGTGGCTAAATTTCTTTTCACGACTCAGTGATTCATGAGATGTGATTTTCTCAGATGATTTATTTTCCAGTACTATTGTCTCGAGGAATCAAGGTTTATAGTAGTTGTGTTAACCACAGAATTTAATTTACTCCTGATATGACCAATTAGAATATTAACATGTTTAGTGATATGTGATTCTCGCCCGTTGTGTGGAGGAACGAAGTAGTTAACTATAAAAAGTGGGTAAGAATAGACATATTCTATTTGGGTTTTAAAGCCTAAAAAGGGGATCAAAACAAATCTGCGGTATGTCATGAGGATTGAGGAAGTCTTAACTTCATGGATTCTAGCCTTTTTTTGATCTAGACATAACATAGAGAGGATTTTTTATTCCTATTGATAATTATCACGTAAAAGAAAATCTAAAAAGACCACGAACCACCACATTACCTAAATCACATAGTCGCAAGCCTCTTATCCCTTGATGAACAATAAGATTACTCTACCGATGATTTCTAGTTTTCCAACCTCTTTTTCTTTTTCTTTTTCTTTTTTTTTTTTTTGCTAGGATTTTAGAAAGTCATCTTATGTTTGTGATTATGCTAAACTAGGATTAATCATTTAGTAAACTTGAGCTTTGCATATCAGAATAGTTCTTATCCCTTTCCTCATGGGATTGAAATGCAATATTGTGGGAGAAACTGATTTACTTCATGATAAATTTTGGCTTGTCAATTTTTTGGCATCATTGTAGAGGAAAGGCGTTAAAAAAATTTTTGAGTTTAGGAGAACTATAGTTCAACTTCTTTATCAATTTCTATTTTTTCTAATTAATTTATATTTGTTTTATTTGTATTATTCTTGTATTTTCTTGCATGTGCTAAAAATAAAAAGCTAAAAAAAATAAAAAAGCCAAAAACCAGAAGTAATTATTTGTTGATTGATTATATTTTGCATCTATTGTGTGCTTTGCATGTGTGCTTGTTGACTGACTGGTGCAGATCGTTTTGATTGGTTGTTGCATAGAGTCTGTTCAGTCTATCCTTTTATATAAATAAGGGATCTAAGGCTCACCTCGCCCCTTTTGACCCTGAGATTGATCGCATGTATAGATGTCTCAGGAGAGCACAATTGTCCACCAACAAACCTATAGAAATGGCTAACCCTCAAGATTCCATCATGAAAATCCTTAGGGATTGCACCAACCCATCGGTTGAAGAGATCCATTGTAGTATCAATTACCCTACTGTTGAAGCCAACACTTTTGAACTGATATTTGTGATAATTCAAATGGCATAAAATAGTCAGTTTGACGGTACACCATCTGAGGACCCAAACCTTTATCTAGCAAACATTCTAAGTGTACCACCTAGTATAACGATGTCCCCTACAAAGTCATTAGACTGTGACTCTTCCCATTTACTTTACAGGATAGAGCCAAGATGCGGTTAAATTTCATAGCCTCATGATCCATTACAACCTTAAATGACTTAACCTGGAAATTCTTAGCCAAGTACCTTAAAAAATTGTCAAACTGAGAACTGACTCACGTCTTTTGTCCAAATAGAGGGGGAAACAATCTATGAAGCCTGAGAAAGATACAAAGAATTAGTTAGAAAGTGTCCACACCATGCTCTGTCTGATAGGCTAATTATCCAAACTTTATAACAAACTGGTAGGTTCACTTAGATCCATCATAAATGCTGTTGTAAGAGGGTCCCTAATGGCTAAGCCATTTGATGAAGCCTATACAATGATAGAAGAAATGTCAACTAATATTTTTCAGTGGCCTTCTGATAGGGAGAACCCAAAGAAATTAGCTAGGGTACAAGATATTGTTATCTTAACTATCCTAGCATCCCAAGTAGTAGTCATTTTTAGAAAATTGAATAATTTAGGGGTAAATTTAGTGTCAGGATCACCATCAAGTGAAGGAATGATGTACACACCAGTGGTAGATTCTAGCCTAACCACTATGGAAGCTGTGAATGACATAGGAAATTATAGAAACAACCCTGATTCCAACATTTTCAACCTAGCCTAGAGAAACCATCCTAAACGTTTCATGGAACAATAACAACCAGCAGTGGGGGAACCCTCAAGCCAACCCTATAGGTAACTGGAACAACTAAGTAAATAACCCCTAAAGATAGCCATAACCTCTAGGATTTCAAGCTAATTCTTTGCCTACCCACAAAAAAAGTCACCTATCAAAAAATTAG